TATAGGATGTTATAAAATGAATAAATCATTAAAATGAATGGGAACATTATCTAATTACAATTATTAAGTTATTCACGTTGATTATAATAAAAAATATAGTGCATTAGCTAGCGGTTAATTTTAAAATTTGGCTCATCATTTTTTTGATCAAAACAAGGAATTTCTTTCATTTTAAAAGAAAGATTTGAGTGATCGGAGATGGAAAAGAATATAACATGCCACATGTTGAACAAAATTTGTCTTTTGGTACTTTGCTGGCAACTTTAATCTTAGTTTCTTTTTACCAAAAGGTTCTTGCTAGACGGAAACAGTCTAGCTCCACACGACTACAGAGCAAACTTACAAATGTATTGCTTCAATATTTTAGGACTGTTTCAAAGATTGAATTTTACAAAAGCCAAAATACATTTAAAACAAAAGAAAATGAAGAGTTTATCTAATCATTTCTATTGTCTTTATAGCATTCAGCATGTGTAAAATGCAAGAATTAAAACCGATCTTGAATTATTGCATTAGCAAATCAATTTCCAGTCAATCAACATTAGATATACGGCCTTTTCTTCTATCAAACCAATGGTTTAAAAGTAAATTGTGTTTTAAATTTGTAGATTTAATGATTGGATTTCAAATTTATTTCCTGAGGACAGCGATAAATTCCTTGGTTTTCTAGGAGTAAAGTGCTTATACGAGTTGAAGGACAAAGATGTCAAGAGGTCAGCTTGCATGGAGTTAAAGAGTTTTTCTCAAGAAATGAGGATTGATAGAGTTTCTTTTACGCCTGTTCATTCAAGCGCATTGTTTGAATTTCTTTCTGAATGCGAGAAACTCAAAATTTTTTTTACCAAGTTTCTTGATAATCATAGCTGTTTTCCAATGAAAAACTATTTGTTAAATGTAAGAGCAGAAATTTTAATTTGTTTACGGTTTATCTGTTTTAATTTTGGAAAATACTTTTGGAATCATCTCAGTAAAGCTTTAAAGAGTGAGAGTTGTAAACTTACATAATTGCATATTAGTATTAGCAAAATAATTGATGAAGGTGCTAATATTTTAATGAAACTTTGAAGAAATGTAAAATTACTGATTTATACATCGGTAATAACAGTATAGGTGATGAAGGTGCTGAATTTCTTACTGAAGCTTTAAAATGTAAGGATTGCAAGCTTACTGATTTAAATATCGGTAATAACAGTATGGGTGATCATGGTGCCGAATATCTTAATATAGCCTAGAAGAGTGAGAATTGTAAGCTTAATGAATTGAATATTGAAGAAAATAATATAAGTGATCAGGGCTCTAAATATTTTGTGCAGCTTTGAAAAGTGAGGATTGCAAGCTTACTGAATTAAACATCGGTGGTAATAGTATAGGTGACTAAAGCGCTAAATATCTTAGTGAAACTTAGTGAAGATCTTTATGTCAGTAATAATAGTATAGGTGATCAAGGTGCTGAATATATTAGTGAGAATTGTGTACTTACTAAATTGTATTTAAGTAATAGCAATATAGGTGATAGGAGTGCTAAATATCTTAGTAAAGCATTAAAGAGTGAGAACTGCGATCTAACTGAATTGGATGTTGCATAAAACATTTTTAACGATGAGGGTGGTAAATATCTTAGTGAAGTATTGAATAGTGAAAATTGCAAAATTACTGTATTGAATATTAATTATTGTAATATAGGTGATAAAACCGTTGAAAAACTTAGTGAAGATTTAAAAAGTGAGAATTGTAAACTTACTGAATTAAGTAATTGCAATAACAAATTAAGTGGTGAAGATTTTAAATGTCTTAGTGAAGCTTTGAAAAGTAAAATTTTATTCATCTGAAAATTGGCAAAGTTATTCGCCAATGGCAAAAGGTTGGTGATTTTTCGTAGCCAACAATCGGCGAGCTATTTTCTGTTTAGAAAAGACTTTAGAAAAACGTTTGTGCCTTTACAGTTGTGTATACGTTAATGCCGTAACTGATTTATAAAAATTACATTGATTTTGTTTTGTTGTGTCAATTTTAAATGTAAGTTTATTTATAAGGTTTATTTTATATGTAAGTTTATTTGCAGCAGTAACCGATAATTTTTCAAAAAAATTCATGTGGAAGGTATTAACTAAATATTTGGAAAAAATCATTGTTTTTTTTCAAAATGATTTTTTCGCATTTCAAGATGCCTTTTTTTTACGAAAATTTAGCACAGAGGGAAATTTTGCACAAGTTAGCTTGCACATAAGGTAAACATTTCATTCTATTTTATTTTGTTCTCGCTTTGTTTGTAGATAATTATCTAAAATAACCGAATATAGTAAGTAGAGTAGTAGACTATGTATGCATTCCTGATGCATTTGCAAATTCAACCTCACAATAAAACATTTTTTGGCATTAAACATTAAGTAAAACACGGAAAAACTGACTCTTCAGAAAAATATATCATTCTTTGTCTATATAAACGCAAATAACAATAACGAAATAGCCTGTAGGTGTGTAAGCCACTTGTATTTAACTTAAAATCATCCCACCTCCTGCTTGAAGTTCATAATTCAAACCTTTATATGTTTTGTAAACAAGTTAAGTGAACAATTTATACATCTTGGGACTCTCCTTTCATATAAACGTTCATTTATTTAAAGTCAACAACTAAATCTACAAGTATAGTTTGATTTGCAAACAAATATTGTTCATTTATTTTTTTCTTAATTTTACAATATTTACTGTAAACAATTCAAAGTGTAACAAGCAATGATGGACTTTAATGATGTTGTAAATATTTAACTATCCAATGAGATTTAAATAATAAACGTGAACACACAAATATTTTTAGTAGAAAATCTTTTCCAACTGACAATTTGCTTTTTATTATATATTTGGAATCGAGATCGTATCATTTCAAATGCCTCTTTTAATATCTTGTGATACGCGTTCGCGCTGAAGGATTCTACTTAACTCAGCTTTTATCTAAAAGTGAACACATATGCCATTTTTGTTTTTGCATGTATTTTCTATGGAACTGATATATATTAAGACAAAGAGTTTACAATCACGATGACTTATGACTATCACTTAAACTGTATTACCCAAACAATTGTGTATACCTACACACTAAACAGCTGTTTTTATAAACACACAGAATTGCGCATTCTTGGAGCATTCAACGTCAACAGCTATATGACACATTCTGTACAAGCTAACAAAGTTTTAAGAAATTTGGGCGATGCGTACACGAACGCATAGCTTTCAAATTGCAAATTATTTTGAGATTTTAAATACCATCTTGTTATAATCTTCCTCAATTATGCATAAATTTGTGGTTTAATTAATCCAAATATGAATAACCAATGAAAGTTTTAAAGAAAATGGCATTTAAAAAGAAAATAATGTAAACTTATCCTCAATTTGGATGCTTGGCGTTCGTGCACGGTTTCGCCAAATTTTACGGAAGTTTGTAAGCTTGAACAACATGTAACATATTTTAACCCTAGGTGTTCCACCTGGTTTTTCGCATTGTCGTTTTCGTGCGCAAGCTATTTCGAAAAAGATTCGAAGTAACACAACTCTCATTCTAAAAAAGGTTTTTATTTGCAAAAATTTTCTGTCAGATGATCCATTGGAAGTCCAACTGTCTATACAATTAAAGGATTTTGCAGGTCTTGCACAGTGATAACTATAGCCCTATTTCCCTATTTTTTTAGTTTTTTACACACTTTGTATATACAACGAATAAATAACCTCTATTTCTTTGTCCTTGGCAACGGTTGGGTAGTCCTTAAGAACTTTCAAAGCCCTTTCGTTTTCTTCGATGATATTTCTTCTTCTTTTGGGAAAGGTCCCATCCATCAACTGTGTACAAGCATCATGTCCTGCTTGTTGCTCTTACAAAAAGCCACTAACTGATCACGCTGCTCATTAATTGTTATTTCTGAGTCCCCTTTAGGTATATCTGGAATAATTTGTGATGATTCAACTAATTTCCGTTTTCTACCAGCCTTTTTCTTCTCATAAACCAAACCAGCGTCTTCCGAGTTTTTTCTATTTTTTGTTTTTAAAAATACGAAGCGCGATCTAGTTAGACAACAATTATAAAGGCCCGTTTTTACGTATAAGAAATTTTTCAACTTTGTGTTATTGGTCTGGCGAAAGCATGTGCAATGTTAAAAATTAAACATTCTTTGGAAAAATTTCTTAAGTGGAAACGGGCTTTAAGTGATTCCCAGCCTCTCTTAAGGGAGTGAACGAACAATGGAAGTTTGCCAAGAATGTTGGACTATAACTGGATAGTAAGTAAGAAAAATGTTTTGTCAAAATCATTTAACATGGAAAGCATGATGTAATTTTCATGCCAACAATGTGTAAACTTTAACCTCTCTCGCAGTTTTCCTTCCTATATTTACTAGGCGATCTTTGATTTTCTTTGCCCAGAATTGTTAAAAGTAGTTTAATGATAGAATTATCTATGCTATTATGTTAAACGATAACGAGCAAATGTGAACTAGAAAGAAAGTAAGTGACTTATGACATAGCCCATTCCAAAAGCGGTAGATTTTTACGTAAGTACCACGAGAACGTAACTACCACGTTTTCCCAAAAGAGCATCTGCAAGTCTTGTGCAAACGTAATACTCGTAGCTAGTGACAGCAAAGTTTTCTATCTTCATAGACAAGACAGCATCAAACTTTTTATAAAAGCATGACTATCTTAACCAACAAATGATTAAGGAACTCGTGGTGATGTAAACAAAGGATCGCTCTTGTTGTATTTTATAATGTTTAGAAAATCATTAAATATGACTTTAACTTTTATATTTTCATGACTTGATCCAAATGATCCACTTAAGCATGGATACTGCTGTATCAGCAGCGTTGCTACTTGGTTCCTCTTAGCAGCAGTCACTAAGCCTGTGTGCTGTGCTGTAATTGACATGCAAATTTGTCTATTCAATGCACTCTATTGTTCTTTTGTCAGCTTACCACTCTTAAGGCGTTCTCAACATTTGGTTCCCACTAGAAGTGTATGTTCAACGTTAATAAACAGCTTATATTATATAAAATATACATAGCTGAGTGATACCAAAAGCGTTTGTAATGACAAAAAGTTCTCTAATACATGACCGCTATGGGGAAAGGGGCAGGGAGGTGATAATGGGGCGTATTGATCGGACCTTTAAATTTAAATACCAATAAATAGAAAATTGTAATATATGTCGGGTCACAAAGAAGGGCACCTCAAATTTAATTGTGCTCAATGTTCTTAATTTCTCTGAACGGCCCTGCTCTAATATTATGCCTTAGCGATGGTTAGCAGCATTAGTCACAAGCTGGCCACATTTACACTGGATGGAATCTTGAAATCTTTTAACCAAGAATGATATGACGTAGGCTGGCTATTTACAGGTGCCTATAAGAAAGTAATGCAGAAAAAGCAAGATAAATCAGATAAGGTTACAAACACACTCTGTATTCGTTGGGTAAGGTTACTGCACATTGCAAATCCCAAGCACAAAAGTCATTTCGATTGCGTTTAGACCTATTTCCAGATAAATTTTTGCTGAATAATGCCAATTCTAAATGTTGTGTGACTTCACATAGAAGCAGTTTTTTGATACCTCTATAAAAAAAGTGCTCATTTTTTTCTCTTGGAAAGATAGACACTTCTATAACGTATATATTAAAAAATGTGATGTCCGAATGAAAATGGTCCTCTTCTCGAACTAAAATGAGCACTTTTTACGGAGTTTGTGTTGTAAGCGTGTGACTCTAAGGAATAAAACATTTTTCTGGGACTCCGCATTTCCCATTTCATTCAAGCATGCAGTGGAAAGTTGGGAATTTGTATTAGAAGTATTATTCTTTACTCTTGAAAATCAGGAGGGAAAGCTAACGTTGATAAAACAGCGATACAGAAGTAAGAACGAAAGTTTCGTGTCAAGTCAAATAACTTTTCTTGCTTTCACCTGTTAGGTGTTTACTGAGAAATATGGGACAGCTGTCTTTTTGTACAAACCTTGTTCAACGAGACAACGGTCAGGTTTTCCTCGGTAAGGACCTCCGTAAATCTTAAGCCCTTTTTATTTGACTATTTTTGTAATCGACGATTAAATGTATTGCATACACTGAGACTCATTGACTGCATAAGTTATGTAACAAATTTTAGCCTTATCCCGGTATTGTTACAAATTGACTTTTTTCTTACCTTGAACTATTTTCTGTCGTTATTTCTTCATCTATAGCTGTATACTATAATCAAGGCATGCATGCCTGTCAAATTATTTCAGGCGATAGTTGCCTCTAAAAAAATACTCATCTTTGAAATCATGTGACATTTAGGTTTTGCATGATTCAACAACAATTGATTCCCCCAAAAAAGCTGAAAACACAATTGAATGAAATAATACATACGTTTTGCATCTATTGCAAATTTAAAATCCGATGGCCTCATTAAGGATAAATTACTGCTGAGTCTACAAATTCCAAATGTCGCCAAATTTCCACTATGAGCATTTTATATGATACATTGCATTCTTGTACTGTAATTGGTTTGTGCAAACTGGCAGTACCACATGATAGTCTAGTTTAGTTGTTTGCTTAATCAGATGTTTTTCCAATTTATTAGACAATGATTAAACGACAGTGGCATATGCAAGGCCGGAAAAATGCAATGGAAGTTGTTTAAGGTATTTTCAAACGTACATCATACGACAACTTGTGGTGTGTCTATATACTTAAAATGTTCCATGCATTACTGCAATCATATACTAAAAGGTTTCAAGAACTTAGAAATTAATGTATTCAGGACAAACATAGTCGACTACTCATAAATGATAAATAAAAACTAATGTAGAATTCATAGTTTTACATACTTTAGAATAACTGTCAGTGGGTACTTTATTGCCATTTGGATCAAATTCCTAAACGGTCACAGATTATCACATACTTCTGTATTTATGTAAATCTTCATAAATACATGATCTTGAACAATTATAGCTACGTATTTGATGAGGTTTCAATGCGTTAATTTACTCTGAATTTCTTATGACTCAGAAAGAGTGCCCCCCCCCGTGCCTTTACATTTGGTTTTGTCTTTTGAAGGGTGATTTTTTCGACCGTTTGATAATTTTTGCCGCTATTTTGTCGTCGGCCCACTAATATTATATTTCAATGGCATTAAAGTGCCTATATCACTTTCAGAGAAATAACCCATTTAGATAGAGTTTAAGAACATTCACAATATATTTTATCTTGGCTTTTTTCGTATCTGACCGCGAGGTGCTGTGTCTGGGTCTAGTTCACTGAACGTGACGTGCATTAGAGAACACGCTGCTTTTTAACACCGTAGAATTATAGTATGATTCAATAATAAAGAGCCCAACACAATTAAAGTTTAATAAAAATACATTCCTCGACTTTGTCACAAATATCACTAGAAACTACAGCGTTAAAAAGCAGCGTTTTCTACAATGTACGTCACATTAGCTGAGCTAGCCCCACTCACAATACCTCGCCGTCAAACACGAAAAAAAAGCCAAATTTGAGACCAAAAAAGTCAAGGAAGATCAAATTTTTGTCTTATAAAATATATAGCAAATGTTGTTAAATCATCAACTCTATCTAAATAGATTATTTTTCTTAGGGCAATAAACTGATATAGTCACTTTAATGATTTATAATCCGCACTTGCATCGATGATAACTGTGCAGTTTGCTTTCATACAAAATAAACAGAGCATATATTTACATTTTGAAACCTGATTCACACATAATATCAAACACATCTTACATTTTTCACCAACGGCTCACTTACTATGTTGGTAACCGAGGTCCACAAAGCGATGAACTTTTTCTTATCTTTAATAATTTCTATCAGCATGTTCCAACCAATTTCATTGCAAAAAAGTTTTCTCCATCGATTTCGTTATCTTAAAAAGACAACAATTTGTATTTCAATGAACAAGAAACGAAACCGTGAACTGAGTTTTTTCAAATTACCTTCAAATACGGTGACTGAATTCGACAAATTATTAGCTTGGAGAAAAGAAACAATGTTTTGCACACCAGAGCTTTCATTTAACAGCAAAGACATCACCGAAAAGTTATATTTTACTCAAAAAACCGAGTAAAAAACCTCGGCAAGAAGCTAGCGATGTTCAGTAACACTTCACAAGGAATCCACTTTTAGCGCAAATATACCAAAAAGCTTTTCGAATCCGTGAAAATGATGTAACAACTTATAAAGTGGAAACACTGATTTACAAAAAGAATAAAAGTCTTCGGAGCGCTTGCTTGTTTTGTTGGTTTTTTACAATTCTGTATAACTTAATAATAAAACAATCCGCTGATTATATAGTTTTAATAAAAAGTGGTGATAATAAGCGTTGTTACGTGCCAAATACGTACTGACTTTTTTACATCAACTATATCAGAAATGGTCAGTCATTTAGTTTTGTATCGCCAAAATGATCCTGGTTTACACATAACATGTGATATACCTGGATATCAATTGACTTTTACACGAGTTTTTTCTTACAAAAGTCATCTACGTCGTACTTACAGAGACATTAATATTTAGAAGCCAGTAGCGCAATTAACACACGGCATCGAAGAATTGAATCGATATGGAAGAGTTGTGCACGAAGATGAAGAAATTGTTGATACTCAGAATGTAGATGAAATGAATAAAATGAAACGTGCAAACGCTCTCTATCTACTGAAGCTAAAGGAAAAGAACTTTCTCACTCAAACATCACTAGATAGTGTGGTTCAAGATACGTACAACTGGCATTGTTTAAAGGACCTTAAGAGCGTTGAGAAAGGAAGTGGCAAAGACGCTGGCAAAAGATGGCATAGAACTAACAAACATCGAAGGATTAAGTGACTTATTCGACAATGATCACCCTTTATCAAACCCTTTCGCCAATATTGAAACACAGCATCAACAAACAGTATTTCAGAATTTTTTTTTCTTAGTGATAAGAATAATGGTTAATACTTAACACCTTCACATCTGAGCATGCTCACTAGATTATACTAGACAATATATACATTTATTCAAGCTGTATAGGTATACAAAACACGTGTTCTAATATTCATGAAATGCATGCAATTATGTTAGTTTATATTGAAGTAATTACATTCGAAATTAAGGAACCAAGACGTATACTACTTGGTCATGTATCAAAAAGGAGACGTGTTGGAACAGGTCATAAAGAATTTTGGTTAACGAGGAATTCGTGTATGTCCCATTGCTAAAATCCTTGGAACAAATCCTTAATCAGTCAACAGTTTTTTCTCAGGTAATTCAATGAGTTAGCTAAAACTATTAACCGTTCAGTGGATGTTATTATTTGTTAAAATATTAATGGGGTTGCCGTTTGTATGGTAATCATTAAGACCGAAGACTGAGGCTAGACACTTTAATTTTTAGTTGCCGAAATACATACTTCTATATCGTTCGTATTTTGATATTCAACGAAATTGTTAGTTGAAATTTTGCTTTCTTCATGTCAAACAAACAATCACATAATCCCATCTGAACAACAAAGTGTTCATTACAGGTATTAAGCCCTCATAAAAGTACCGATGTTTACATTAGAGATTTCTGCGATGGTCAGCTATACTAATGCCATCCGTTATTTTCGAGAAATCCTAGGGCAATTCAAATAATTCTTTATTACGATGAACTGGAGATAGCAAATTCATTGGGAAGTAAGGCTGGAAAACACAAATTAAGTAATTAATTGCTGTTTGACGTCATGAAATTCTAATTATGCTTTTTATTTAATAATATGACTATCATTAAAATTATAAGTTGCAACTTTCCCACCAACTATTTCCCAAACACCAGAACTATTGGCATAGAGGAACTAACTTTTAATGTAGTAATGCCATTCTAGCAACTTTTTACCACACTTTGGGCAATATTAATCCAGCGAACAGATCGCAACTTCATGCTATTTAACTAGTTGCACTTGTTACCGTTCCTCTTGATAAAAAATATGGTATAGATGCCATTTTGGAAACGTTTATGAATGATGTAATGGAACTTTAGAAGGTAATATTGATACATTGTTACAAAAACAACGGATTTATCTATGTGCCTGTGGCGTGAAACGGCATAATTTTATATGTGTGGTAGGCACATATAAATGCCTACTACTAACTTTATGGGACAGGTGCTCCCAGTAGTCTGCTTTATATGTGTGGTGGCTTCTGTATGTAGTACCATGTATCACTGGAGGTATCTACGTCAAATCTAGGCTCTTACGTCACAATTTGTTTCTCAGGCAAATGACTACATGACAATAATAACTTATTGCGCAAATGTTCGTACTTATTTGCATTTTCCAATATTTATCCTAGAATGAGGGATATGGTTCTAAAATTAGTGGCAAAATACACAAATTACAAGGAAATATAATTTACTGTAATGGGAATAATCTTGGTTCACAACTGCTGGGTGGATTTAAAGAAGGTCCGGCTTCTTACTTAAAGGGAAGAGAGTGTATGGGCACTCATGAACTTATTACTTCACTGGTATGGAATAAAGAAATAAACCAAAACTGCGTATGTATCGTGATATACGTAATTTTCAATATGATATTAAATATACAATGGGCATGTCAAATTTAGTTTATTTTTAGTTATAATTAACTTTGAATTACGAACTAAGGAAGGTCACAATCAACATTGTCGTCAAATAGAGATCAATCCAGAGCTTTCCAAGACTTATGGGGTGAAGCAAAAATCAATCTTGTTCAACTCTGTATTTTTTCATGTTATTGATGACTTTCCTGGAGATGCCATGCATGATGTACTAAAAGGGGTATTACAGTATGAATGCAAGGAGGTGCTAAACCTTTTCATTAATCATGAAAAACTTTTTACGTTGACAAACTCAATAACCGTGTACTATTATTCGTTACTACTATAAGTTATTCAACTATGGCTACATGAATGACAGAGACAAACCTTCACCTATTCAGCAACGCACACTAGCTACTGTAGGCCTTGCGTTAAGGGGCGCGATCTCACACGCACCCAAGTTGACTGAAGCGACCGATCCTTAGCGCGCCATTTTACGATTTCTTCCACATGAGAGCGAAACTGGTTACAAATATCAAATTACGTACTGAAATACATTTGCAGATAGTTGTGAAATTTCTTCATTGCATGACAAAATAATGTGTGAATGAAAACTATTAGTAAGAAATAGCTTTAGGTGCACTTATGCAAGGAATTCTCTTTTCAAAAACACAAAATCACGTGCGCCTTTACGTGAAAATACAATCTTTGGCCGACTTTGGCCAGCACTTGACCTTGACCTAAAAAGAGCGCGATTTTTCCAT